CCACTGCACTATAAGAGGTCCCCTTCCTGCTTTCCTTGAAAGCTGACACAGTTAATAGATGAAACGTGAAGTTACTTAAAGAGCTATTCCAGTAATTAGGAGTTCAGTGATAAATCAATATTAACACACTGTCTTCAGTTCCCACTTAGCCAGCATGTCAACATGTGTCACGGTGGTAGTCTCCCTTCCTCTGGGCTGGAAAGTCCAGGGTCAAGTCCCAGCTGCCATGGAAGTGTGTTATTGCATTTCCAATAGGTTGATTAAATACAAAACTACCTCATGGGGGTGACACGGTGATTCGGTGTTTAGCACTGCTGCCTCACAGTGCCAGTGACCCGGGTTCAATTCCAGCCTCGGGTGACTGTCTGTGTGGAGTTTGCCCATCCTCCCCCTGTCTACGTGGGTTTCCTCCCACAGTCCAAAGATTGCAGGTTAGGTGGATTGGCCGTCGGAAATGCAGGATTACAGGTATAGGCTATGGGGGATGAGTCTGGGTGTGACACTCTTCAGAGAGTCAGTGTGGACTTGTTGGGCCAAATGGCCTGTTTACACAGTGTTGGGATTCTATGATTTACCTACCATCTAAAGGGTATTGTGGCACAATGGTAGTGCACCTCCTGTGGGGCAGAAAATCCAGGTTCAAGTTTCACCTCAGAATGTGATGGTCTCAGTAGTCCAAACTGGTTGATAGTTTTTTTTTTCTCTCTATTTCCTTCTGTAGAATTTTGACCTGCTGTCTCAAAGTATTGAGTGAGAGTGGGCCGATTAGCATTTTGTGATTTCAGGTCAATCAGAGTCAGTGGAGTAATGTTCAGTCACATAAAAGCTAATGGTTCCCGTGGAGGAACATTCAGCATGATGTCATAGGGACTGCAAAATACCACATAGCAGCTGTCCTAACCTCGTACATAAAATGGAGGCTGCTAGGAGGGGGCTCCACTGGTAGGTTTTGAGTTGAGGTGGAGGGGAGGTGGCTCCTGGAAGCAGCATTATGTCATGGCCACATGGGCATTTTCTTGGACCACCTTCCATTAGGTCAGGATTACTAATGTCCTTTGGAAGGGGTAGAGGGGTGTTGTATGACTAGAATGTAATCTTGCTGGAATAGATGTCTCCAAACTCCAGAGTGCTATGTGGCAATGAACTCTCCTCTCAGGGATCAGAGCATTGCAGAATCACATGGAGCACATGCCATTTGGACAAGTGTGAGACTAACATGGGGTCAGGGCATACCTGAAGTTTCATGTGGCAACAATGTTAGGGGAAAGCAACCCTTTACAAAGACTTTGTGCTTTTCACTTAATGTTCTCACAGATGTCCCGAAAGTGAAAGGACTACGCACAGATCAACCCGTTAATGGATCTTGCGATCCTAATTCTGTGAAGGAGCTACGACAGAAGACCACAGCAACAGTTGTTGGACAGTGTGCCGACTGAGATGGAATAAGATAAAAGCCACCATGTCAAAGGCGAGCTTTTGCTCAAGACACATCTAGGTGCAGCTACCTGCAGATGAGTGACAGCCAGTATTGCAGACGGCTCAGGATGTCCCGAGCCACTGTGCCATAGCTGTATGCCAGCTGTTAGATATGGACCCTGTGGTAATAAAGACTGGTTGGCAATCCCATTTCAGTAAATGTAAAGGTAACAGCTGCCCTTATTTTCTTTTCCTGTGGATTGTTCGAGAGAGTTACAAGGGCCCTCTGTGGCATTTTGCAGTCTTCAACTCAGAAGTGCATCCAGATGGCACTGTTGCTTTCTTTGCATGGGCCCTGCTTTGGCACAGGAGGTAGGCAGCAATGTTATAAGGATTCTCAGCCATTGCTGCTTTCCCGCAGGTTCAGGATGCCATTGATTGCAACCAGATAGTAGTCAGAGTGCCTATTATCAACTAGCAGTCAGTGTCAACTGAATAGAACTCCATTTCCTTAATATTCAAATCATTTGTGACCAGAATGTCTTGACAGTGCAGTCTGCACAAGATATCCAGAGAGCTGCCATGACTCTCACATCCTGGACCACTCACTGGTGCCAGATACTTTCAAACACTTTCGCCTCATTCAATGATGGTTGCTGGGTGACAAGCAATACACCCTCCATACTTGGTTGACGATGCCTCTAGGAAACCCTCTGATTACGTCGTGGAGAGATTCAAACAACACTGTCCATGCTTCAACCAGGTCTGTTTTGGAACAGATCATAGGCTTTATGAAAATGAGGTGTGTTATGACCCAAACAGGGTGTTCTGCATCATAGTGGTGTGTTGCATTCTCCACAGTCTCAGTTGCAAAAGTATGGATGTGTTGGCTGAGGAGAGATGCAGGAATGACAGGGAAATTCTGAGGAAGAAGATGATCTTCGTGAGTCTGAGCAGGTGCCTGGTCTCCAGCAGCCCTGTGGAGACTTTTGGTGTTTTATCTCTCCACTGGCTCTGGGTATGTTTCAGTGATGCGCTCCTCAGATTGTGTCCCTGAGTCTGCTGTAGCTAATGTAACCACCAAGGTGATGGTCTCTATGTTGGCAGAGGATCAGGTGAATGTCTTTTCTGTCGGCCTCTGAGTGTTCACAGACTTCCTCCTCAGAGTTGTTGCTGGTACAGAGTGGCTGAGGCTCTGGTTTCGTGAACTGGGCCTGGTGCTGGGGAATGCTGCAACTACTACAGAAGAGAAGAGCAAAATGTTAGGTATGGAAGATACAGAATAGCTTAAGCGGATCAATGCATTTGCCATCCATGCATATCTGAGAAGAACAGAGCACAATGTTGCTTAATGGGTTGTAGGCCTATTCCTGTTACTCTAGTGCCACAATAACGGTTCTGGTCTTCACTAACCATCTGTCTTGCCCCTTCTTCAGAAGGAATGAGAATCTTGATATCTGGCTGTTCACCTGCAGTGAGATAAAGAGAAGGATTGAGTGTGGTGGAAAGGGTGCATAACCGTACAAATTGGTGAGCACTAAGTGATTGATTGGGAAGCACAGTAGGCAGAAAGGGTTCATATATATTGAAACGCATAAATTGGCTGTGAGTCCTTGTGTGTCTATATGCATGTGATGCTGAGGCTGGCAGGCTATGTGCCCTCCGTGATGCCTATGCAGTGGCAGAGTTAAGGGCCTGTCAGTGTGAGCGAGTAGAGAGATGATGGTGCCACTTGCCCCTTGCTGCTGAACATATGTTTTCCTCTGGCCCTGCTTGCCATTTCAGTTTGAGGACCACTGGCACAGATCTGGGTTGTTATCTGGACCCGGGCCAAGTGGGTCTGATAGGATGGCCTCCTGGGCAAGCTCCTGGAAAGAGGGTGTCTCTCCTATCAATGAATCCGTCCAGCAGCAGTTAGCAGACAGTGTCACTAAATCTGGATGCACGCTTCGTGGGCATTTTGTAGCTATCAGGGATGATCACCATATGCTTCTGGGCACTTCCAGGCTTGCAGTGTCTGATATGGTATCCAGCTACTGTTAATTATGATGCCAGAACCTTGGGCCCTGTAAGACCCCATTAGAGTGAAGAACTGTCTTCTTGCTTACAACATGCATTTGCGAGTTACTCACACATCTCTCTTGCGTAGATAATGAGGTAAAAAGCACACAGTTACGTGACAAAACTCTCTCTGACATTGGTGGATATGACTCCATCTGAAAAGCTCATCTTTAATTCCAAAATAGGAAATCTTAGTGGGTCTTAGTGTAGTTAAAATGGCAGTGATCCGTTTTTGCCCTCCTCCAACTTGCAGTGAATCTGTTCAGTTGTAAGATGTAAAGCCAGCATGACAAAATAAGTACCTATTTAGTGGAAGGTTGCTGGAGACATTTAGTCAATGTATCATCAAATGTGAAATAAAGAGATCTCCAGAATAAAACAATTACAGCCATTTGTATTCTTGACATTTTAGAGCTGTTGTCAGCTCATGATTTTGTTTGATGTGAATGTTTATGAATGAAGAGCTTTGGAAAAGTGTTGATATAAATTTTTCCTCTTTGTTTCGTTTGGGATCAGCGGTGCATGATATTGAAAATAGTTTCTCACCGGAGGGGCCAAAGCTTTAGAGTCAAGGCTTGTTTTATGGTTTAGCAATTGAGATCCATGGTTTCCAGCATGCTTACTTCACAACAGAGTTTCATCTTTCAGTCAAACAATTATGTTACAATTATCAAGAGCTGTACAAATCAATTTTGAATGGACAGCTTTCCTTGAAAAATTCCATTAGGAAAGGAAGAACCTTCATTTATATAGTTGGTGACGATCTCAGAATGTTTAAAGCATTAAGTGTTTCACAGCCAAAACAGTGTTTATGAAGTGTAGTCATTTGTAATTTAAGCAGCCAATTGTTGTTTATCAATGACTGGCAGGCTTACTGTATTGGCTGATTTGTAGACAAGGTACATTGGTTCCAATTTACCTTGCTTAACGAACTTTGTTTATGTAATCCACTGTATATACTGACAAAAGTTCATTAGACATTCACTCAATAGCACCCATTGCTTCTTTTGTGTGTTGGTAACATAGAAGTTGAAATTGAAAACCAAACAACTGAGCTGGACTACAACATTGAGACTAAAGTCTGCACTCAACTCCTGTCAGAAATCCAGTGATCTCAGACTGGAGTTACGTAATCCATGAAAGAGTTGGAAAGATTTGAATCTGTAGTTTCCCAAGAAAAGGACAAAATTTAGTTGTAAACTTTATAGATGGGAACAATAAAGCGTGATTAATTAACAGCGCAGTTCATTGACGTGTTTCTGCATGCTCTGAAATCAAGAGATTTTAAACCATTTTCTTCCCAATGTGCAGTCTCATTTCATAATCACTTTTGGACATATTGCAGCCAGAGCAATGCCATAATTAAATTTAATAATGTGATGGAACAGATAAGGCTGTAAAATATTGTTCCCAGCCAGTAATTAGTTAAAATATCTAATCTTTCTTTCACAGAAATAGATGCAAAATAGTTGTTAGTCTTAAAGTACTGGAAAATGCATGCTAATTTTCCCTCTTGTTTTTAGAATAATCTACAAGTGCTCCATGTGTGACACAGTGTTTACTCAGCAAACCTTGCTGTGCAGCCATTTTGATCAACATGTTGCTAAGCAGAAAGTTTCAGTCTTCAAGTGCCCAGATTGTGCATTGCTATATGCACAGAAACAGCTCATGGTGGAGCACATTAAGGTATGTTCCTCCCATTGGAGTCATATTTACTATTGCAAAAAGGTAAATTATTTTGTTAGATTAATTCTTAGAATGTTGCTAAGACCCCTGCCTATTTACTTTGAAATATCGAATCTTGGGAACTAACGAAGGCTTGAATGTTCCTTTTGGATGGCTCAGTCTCAGTCCAGCTGCTTCAACAGCATGTTTTAAAGTGGCGATCAAAGGAAAAAAATAACTGTATTTCTAAATCTCTACGCCACAGGATGTCCCAACAAGCTTTACAGCAGATGAATTACTTGTGAAATGTAGTCACTGTGATGAGGCAAAGAAACATGACAGTCAATTCTTGCACAGCGTGATCTGTCCGAAATGTGACACCACTAACCAAATAATCTGCTTTAGTAATGGCTGAGGGTTAAATATTGGCCAGGGCACAGGCAGAGCCCCCTTATTCTTCAATAATCATGTGCTGGTGTCATTTGCACCACCTGGGAGGGCAAATGTAGGCTGGTTTAACATCTCATCCAAAAGGGGGCACCTTTGACACATGTAGTTCTCAAGTGCCACCATGGATGATGTGCAAGAGTTTCTGAATGGGGCTGAAAACCATGGTTTTACAACTCGGGGATGAGAATCCTGCCACTGGGTGAAGACTGACACTCTGCGGGTAGTGTATGTCTCTGCCAGCCGGGCTGTTTGCAGTCAGAAGGGGGTCATGTGACAAAGCACAGAGGGCTTTCTCATCAAGTTTGTGTTTACCCACAAGAACTTTTACATCATAATACACCAGGCCTGTCCAACCTTCAGCATATTGAAGCCTTAACCTGCTAATTCATGGCAAGTTAAGGGTCTGTTTCCACTGCACTGCAATAATTTGTGTGTCTGGGGAAGGCAAATGAAGGAAGCCATCACCATTTGGTGTGAATAGGTGAGAAGGAAGGGGTATTCTACCTTTGGGGAATTCCCTGTGTCCAACCATTGGCGATACCACTCCTGGCATCCAAACCTTGACTGCTCTCCACACGTCTCCTTCTCCTAGCGCCCTTGATCGCCCTTCTGATTAAGATTGTTGACTTACCTCTTAACCTGATCACTATGCACATTCTCTTTAGGGGTGCCTGTAGTCTCAGCTGCAGCTACGACAGATCTCTGGTGCTGCTGGCTCATCAGATTTGCAAGACTTCCTCTTCCTGAGGGATGAAAGTTTCATAATTACCTTGTCAATTTTACCTCCAGCATACAATTGCTCCAGGGCAGACTTTTGAAGTGAAATGGTTCGCACTTTTCAATCTGGGCTGGAGGCTGGGTGTAAGCAATATGCTACCCTACCCCCACACCACCTCACCTGCAACATTCCATTTTCTTTCAAATTGTCACACTGACTCAACATTCACAACATTTACTCGCATTCTTTAATTGTGTTTGTGTTTTGATCCTCTGTTGGATCACTAGGCTTTGCTTTAAAACAGATCCATCCTTTTTACATGTGGTTGTGGTCACACAATATGAATGTTAAAATATTTCAACTTTAAATAACTTTTTCTCCAAGGTTTTGTCCCAGCAAATTAAATACAATAACGACAGCCTCAAATTCTCATTTTTTTCATTGTAGACGGTGCATGGCACACTCAAGAGTATTGAGGGTCCTCCCAACCTGGGACCTCAACAACCATTGGTCACAAAACCAGTAACTACGTCAGCAGGACAGAACAAAACTGATGGGAATGCTGTAAATGGCACTGATCGGCTTGGGAAGAAACCTTCAGTGGTTGTGAGGAAATCTGGGAGCCGCTCAAAAGCAAATAACCCTGGTTGGATGTGTCAAGACTGTGAGGAATGGTTTCCTGAACGAGAGGACTACATTTCTCATATGAAAAAAGACCATGGAAAGGTATGAATTGAATGGTATGAGAGGGAATCATACATCAATTTCTGGGAACCATGGAATTCAGTTTGTAAGGAGAAACAATTGATCCAAATAATCTTTTTAACACATGAAAACAGGAAATGTTGATATAAGGTCATTGATCTGAAATGTTTTTTCCTCTGTTTCCGACATTTGTAACATTCACTGTACTTTGTTCCTGTTGTTTTTATGGGCTGTTTTTCATAACCATTTTTAAATACATGCCATAATGGAGAATTATTATTATTTAGTACAAATTTATTATATTTCAGAATTACAGTGCAGTGTAATTCTGATCTCCAACCAAATATACATGCAGTTAAAGATGTCACGTTGTAAATCATGACATCAATCTATTGATCATGGTTCATAACTACAGTGAATAGCAGCATTACTTTAGTAATATCACATAGAAAAATAATCTGAGTTATGGTTTAATTCTGAGTAGTTAACCTTTGTCAGCAGCAACCACCACTGTAACTGGATTATCTGCGATCAGGAAAGAATTACATCAATGGCCTCCAGATTAATTAGGATTGTTAGAATAATTCTGTGCAAAGGTGCATGACCTTTTGCTGCAGAATTGTTAAGAAGGACCGAGCATTGTACAACAGGCAGGGGACGGTGCAGAAAAATGGAAAGGGTTAGCATGGTGAGACTGAAGGAAGGATCATGGAGGACTATTATAAGAAGAATTATCAAAGGGATCATGAACTAGCAAGGTGAGGCAAACTGGGTAGATATTTCTTCAGTGTAGTGGCATAGTAATTTAGCTTTTCAGCTGAAAAGTCTGTCCCCATAGATGGTGTAAGAGATGTAGGAAAGGTAGACTCAGGAAGTTATAGGAAATTGATGGTAAATGAAGGACACACTGGTTCAAACTTGTGAGAAGTAAATTTAGGACTCACTTCAGGAAATTTTTCACTCAGAGCTTGTCTGGTGTTAATGCGGAAATAGTGGTGTCAAAACTGAGTCAATAACTTTGATAATACCGGTGATATGACCATCTTCAATTTGAAAGGAGTTTGCCAGCAGCCATCTAAAGTACCTTACGTGATTCAGGCAATTTTTATGTCAAAGGAACAAGATTGCTATTTTAGGTAGAAACTACTGGACCCTACACCCCACTCAGCCAATTTCTGTTTCCCTGTTAAAATTGGAACTCAACTGATCAGTCATGTTGGTAGTGCTTGTGGCCCAGAACACCATGAAATTAAAAACAAAGCATTGGAGATACTTGGAAGGTCTTGCAGCATGTGTGGAGAGAGAAGCAGTGTTAATGTATGTCTTCAATTACTCTTCTTTAGAACTGAAGGGGGCTGAGAACTGATGGTTTTTATACTGTTGACAAATGAGGAAGAGGAGTGAGTGCAACAAATGGTGAGGGTGCCCTGAGTTAAAGACAAAGGGAGTTTTAATGGTAACAAAAGGGATTTTAAGATGCAAATACAATGATAGGTGTGAGCCGTAGAAAATAGGTCAGCTCTGCTGAGAGCAAATCCATGCAAACAGGACATGATGATGGGGAAATGGGATGTAATGAAAATTGAAGGTGTTGTTTATGCTGTAGTGTTGCTAAATTCGCGGTTGAGTTCTGAACTCTGTAAAGTGCCGAAGTGGAAAGTGACGTGCTGTTGCTCTCGCGAGTGTTGAACTTTGCTGGAATATTTCAGTCGGAACCTCATCTTCCAGTTGATTACCTTTTCAGTAAACAATCTTGCTCCATTTCCATCCTGGGCCTGCTTCAGTATTCCACCAAAGCTCAATGTAAGCTTGAGGAATGGCAACTCATTTTCTACTTAGACCTTGGGCCAATACCCCAGCTGCACAGCCTTCAGGACTCGCTGACTTCAACAACTTCGGAGCTGAGATACTATCCTCCATTTTGATTGCAACAGCCCCCTGCACCAGGTTTGCTCTCAGCCTAACTGACCAATTTACATAACTAATAATAACACCTATTTTTCATACCACATTCCTTTACTACCGTTAGCTCTCCCTTTTGTCTTTTGCCCTGGTCGCACGTAGCGTCCTTCGCACTTCCTCATCCTCCTGTTTTGTCAATGGCATAACATCCATCATTTTCGAGTCCCCTTCAGTTCCATTGTAGAGTCATTGAACTCAACACTTGTTCCTTTCTCCACAGATGTTTCCCGGCCAATTTGTTTTCCTTCAAGTGGGATGCACAGCAGAGATGGGATTGGGGGCGGGGAAGACATACAGGTCCAAGGGGAGCCATTCTGGCTGTGACAGCACCCCCACACCCCTCAGTGACAGTACCCCCTCAGAAAGAAGAAAGAAGGGTTGGCATGGTGGCTCAGTGGTTAGCACTGCTGCCTCACAGCGCCAGGGACCTGTGTTCAATTCTGCTCTTGGGTGATTGTGTGGAGTTTGCACATTCTCCCCATGTCTGCGTGGGTTTCCTCCGGGTGCTCCGGTTTCCTTCCACAGTCCAAAGATGTGCAAGTTAGGTGGATTGGCCATGCTAAATTGCTCATAGTGTCTAGGGATGTGTAGGTTAGATAGATTAGCCATGGAAAATGCAGGGCCACAGGGATAGGATGGAGGTGGGTCTGGGTGGGATACTCTTCAGAGGGTAGGTGTTGATGAGCTGAACGGCCTGCTTCCACACTAAAGAGATTCTATGATACTGAGGCCTGCTGAATTTCTCCCTGCACTTCCTATTCTTAGTTCAGATCTCCAGCATCCACAGTATTTTGCTTTTATGTATCATTAATTACCTGTTTTATTAAAACAGTGTCGTGGGATTTTCTAGCCATGTAAACTAGCAGACAGTGCCCTAATTTGATATCTCACTAGTGAGACGGAATACTTTATCATCCAGCATTTAAATCTCAAACTAGATTATGTCTGGAAAAGGGTTGAATTGATAATCTTCTGAGTCATAACATGGAGGACTGCCAAATGAGTCAAGCTGACAACTGGAAACATTCAGAAGAACATTGACCGCATTAGCATTGAATAAAATAAAAGCACGTTATTATTGATTTAGTGGTTTATTAAATAGAACCACAAATAAGTTGCAATGGAGTATACCACAGATCTCTCAGAACATTTTAACCTTTCCAAAAGATGGAGTATTGTAGATCGATCATATTGCTGCGCATTAATTTTTATTTTAGACGTTTTGCGTTCTTTGTATTGGAATTTGGAAATTCAGAATGCAAAGTCCAGAAGAATTGAAAAATACTTGGTCATCATTCTGGCAGTAGTAGGTTGTCCTGCAACTGAATAAAAGATATTTAACTTTAAGTTGTAGGCCTGTGCTTTCTCTTTCCTACTTTCTATTTCTAATGTCTCCTGAACCTTAGTGACACTTTTCCTTAATTTTACTCTCTCTGCCAGGTTTACTCTAATTTCTTACACATGAAGGGAACGAATGAAGCTAGCACAGGAAAATCAGAATCTTACAGAGTAAGACAAAGCACAACTTGGATACCATCCTTTCCCAGAATTTGCACTGATAATAGGTGAACAGAAAAAGAAGTTCAATTATTAGAAGTCCAAAATAAAATATAAGACACCGGTAGTAAACAATAAGTCCAAGATATCTTGAGAGAGAAAAGAAGGTGTTGATGTTTGAAGCTTCTTGTACCTAGTGACAGCTGTCCACTAATAAAGTGTGATGTGAAGCAATATAAACACCTCCAGAAGCCAGGGCCAGACAAAGCAAAATCTGAGAGTGAAAGGATAAGTTCATGTTCAAAACAGGATATTCTGTACCACAGAAAATGTTGACTTTTCTATTCTCTCCACAAATGTTGTGTTTCCTGCATTTTTCTGTTCTTTCATATTTCCAGCATCTACAGGAGTTTGCTAATTGTTTACCAGTATTTGTTGCTATTGTCATTGCACAATGGCAGCAGTGTTTGCAAATTCAAATGACATTACTGGTTCCCACAGGACAGCTATGTTAGTACGATTGTAAATGATATTACTATGAGGCTGTGCCCTTGGCTCCTATTCTCTCCTATTGGTTGGAAGCATCTTCTTCGCTTTCACTTTATCCAGACCTCTCGGTACTCTGAAAGTTTCAATGAAATCTCCTTTCGTCCTTCTGAACTTCATCAAGGACAGACCTAGAGTCCTCAAATGCTACTCATATGACCAGCACTACTTCATTCTTGAAAACATTCTTTGGACCTCTTCAAAGCCAGCACATCCTTCCTTGGATACGGGGACCCAAAACTGCTCACAATATTCCAAATGCAGTCTGATCAGAGCCTTATACGGCCTCAGCAGTTCATCTCTGCTCTTCTTGAAATGAGTGCCAACATTGCATTTTCCTTCCTGACTGCCAACTGAAACTGCGTGTTAACTTTAAAAGAATCCTGAACTAGGACTTCCAAGTCCCTTTTGTCCTTTTAAAGCCTTTCCCCATTTAGAAAATAGTCTATGTCTCTATTCTTCCTACCAAAGTGCATAACCTCATACTTTGCCACATTGTATTCCATCTGCCACTTCTTTGCTCACTCTCCTAGCCTGCCCAAATCCTTCTAAAGCCTCCCCATTTCCTCAATCCTCAACACTACCTGCCCCTCCACCTATCTTTGTGTCATCTACAAACTTCGTAACAATACCATTAGTGCCTTCATTCAGATCATTAATGTATAATGTGAATATTTGTGGTCACAGTACTGACCACTACAGAACTCTACTAGTCACCGGCAGTCATCCTGAAAAAGAGATAGTAGGAACTGCAGATGCTGGAGAATCCGAGACAACAAGGTGCAGGGCTGGATGAACACAGCAGGCCAAGCAGATGAAGGGTCTAGGCCCGAAACGTCAGCCTCTCTGCTCCTATGATGCTGCTTGGCCTGCTGTGTTCATCCAGCCCTGCACCTTGTTATCCTGAAAAAGATCCCTTTTTCCCTACTCTCTGCCTTGTGGCAGTCAGCCAATCCTCTATCCATGCCATTTAATGGGCTTCCAAAGTCGTCCATGAGGTTAAAATGATGTGTGGC